GAAATGGGCAACTCGTACGCGGGGCAGCTGCGCACCACGCGTTTCGAGGAGGTCCTACACAACTCCATTGAGGCGTCCCTGCGCTCCAACACTGTGGTGCCAAGACCTGTGTTCTCTCAGCTGTATCTGGAACCAGAGCAGAGACCTCTCTCTCGAGATGGTAGGACTCCAACCTTAACTCTGAAATCTTACATTACTAACAATGACATTAGCATTAGAGAAAAGAGATCAAGCAGAGTCCTAATAGGGGGATCTTTTCACTCGGCGGTCATCTTTGCAGCAACACGGGGCAGTTATTTCCAGCCATACAAGATCAGACTCCTATCTCTTTAAATGGGGAGAGACCAAGAACCTTACTTGGCTCAGTAACGCATAAAAGACATGTTTTGGGGGGTTTTGGGGGCGGGTCTTTCTCTGCAAACAGAAGCCGTGTTGAGCTTTCCCATTCATATTTTAACCAGTGAGTGGTCTCCTCCTTTATACCGTCTCTGGATCAAGCTAACTGGTTTTTATTCACTCTTAGCAGAAGCTTTTCATGCTAACATGTCATATTAGTTTTTTGTGTTATGTTGTTCTGCAACAATGATGACCAGCCATCCTCCTAAAACTCTGCACTCATGAATGTCCTGCTAAAGGTAGTGTACTGCTTTTGACGTACTACTTAATACAGTAGTATGTGGTTGTAGACACAGATGACGTGTGAACTGAGGTCTATAAGTAACTGAGTGGTGACAGTTTTTAATTTGTCTTATTACTTAGAACAATGACTATGAGGTGAAAGTGCAAGAGCTAACAAAAGGTTCTAGATCTGTTCTTTACACTTTGTCAGCTTTAATATGATATCTATTCTTCCTTTATTTATACTGTTCCTCTATTCCTCCTGTTTTAGCTGACCAGTAATTTTTGACAGCTGGTGCCTTAGTTGTGTCTGGGTCAGCTGTCTGGAACTTCACTGTTAGTTCATGCACACGAGCCAGTAGAGCATCTAGAGTTGATGGTTGTTGAGGCTTTTGAATGTGAAATTTGTTGATGTTGTCTTGACCAGTGAGGTGTCCATGCCAATAAGTCAAAACAGGTCAACACAACTTTTTAGTACATTATTAAAATCAGGAATTTGCTAGGAAAAGAAGATCATAGTTTTGGGTGATTTTTCAATACTTGAAGGAAAATCTGAACAAAAAGGCCTCAAAATACACAACAACTAAAAATGGGCGCATTACTTGCCTGGAAAGCACATCACTAAGCAAGATACCCAGATACTCTAGTGCATTTCAATCAGCTCACAACCTTAGTAGTTATCTGTTTTTCTAACCAGGCCACATGGAAAATGAAGAGGAGGATGATGAGGATGGCTCAGAGTCCAACAGCCCTCCTATTCCATACCAGATGAAACCTCCCCCTGAAGGTTCCTGCACTACCGATGGTAAGAGGAGCTGCACAAAATATTCTAGATGTGATGTCATCATACAATTGACCTCTACTTTTCAACACTTGCAGTACTTTTAATTGTTTATTTATGTAAACAACCTCCATGTTGTTTACTTGAACACTGCTACATAACATTGACATAATCATGCCATAAACATGTCATGGCTGACATAATATACTGATTATATCAGGTCATGTCCAGTTATATAACAGCGCCATGTTACCATTACTGGTAATTGTCATAAGAGTCATAACAAGTGTTATAATATTTGATGTTATGAAGACTAACTACAGTACACAGCAGCATTTTACATGATATAAGCTGTCATGACATCTAGCATTGTGTCATCTTTCATTACAGTTATTGGTATTGGCACTAACACGACACTGTTATTGAACAAAATCTGTCATGTTACCATATGACATCATATGACATCTGCCATGACATGTTATGGCACAGTTATGCAGTGGTGGACAGTAACGAAGTAAATGTAGTTCGTTGCTGTACTTAAGGAGTTTTTCGTGTATCTGTACTTTACTGAGGTTTTTCCATTTTGGGCGACTTTTTCCTTTCACTCCACTACATTTCAAAGTCAGATCTTACTTTTTACTCCACTACATTCTGAGAAATCTGTCGTTCCTTTTGGTTTATGTGTGTATAAAAACGTAACGTCAAAACGAAAGAAGTGCGAAGCAAAAACACCAATCAGGGCACAGCGGTCACTTTGTTTTGAGCTTGTTTTGACCTGTTGGTCATACCGACCCAGTGCAGCACACGGTTCAACATCAGTGCAGCAGCGTAAAATTTTGGGAGAGTCTATTCAACATAAATGATGAACTAACCTAACTTTGTGTAAACAGACCACAATATAGAAATATGTACACATATGCAGTTGTGACTGACGGGTCTTTATTCTGAATTTATACAAACAGTATTTCATTTTATAGTAAATTTGTTTTGGCTAGTTTATGTTTATGAACAGAGACCTACAGATGCAGTTTAGTAAAGGAAACTCATTTGTGAATCTGAGTTTAAAGTTTTTATTAAAATTAAACTTGTAACTAACTTTCAAATAAATCTTAAACTGAAACTTTGCTTGTTTGTAAAAAGTGATTTCAGAGCCACTCAGTTCTACCTGATGGAAACTGTTTGCCTTCAGTGTTTTGTGTTTATGATAATTTTAATAGACATCAGCGTCACTAATTAATGACATTCTATTAAAAGACTGGTTTACCAAGAGAGACACTGGAGTATTTTCACCTAAAATGAGTCGATTCTTGTTACAACAATGATAATAGGACATTTAGAGTCATAATTAATCTTTTAGTACTTTTACTTTCGATACTTAAGTACATTTGAAGTCAAATACTTTTGTACTTTTACTCAAGTGGAGCTCTAAAGGGAGGAACTTCTACTTTTACTGGAGTAATATTTTACCTTGGGTATCTCTACTTTAACTCAAGTACATGGTTTGTGTACTTCATCCACCACTGCAGTTATGTAACTACGTACATAACGTCAGTGTTACGTAGCAGAGTTGAAGTAAAGTGTTACCAACTTGTTGTGTGACAGTAAAAGTTCAGTTAGTAGTATTCAGTCAGACAGTAATGAGTGTTTGTTACTTTTTGCCATTGTAGTTTATAATTATACAACACTTAGGGGCAGGTTTACTAATATTTTACCATTACAAACTCCATTTTGCCAATAAAAGTAATTCACTCATAATTCACTGATAATCAGACGTGGTTGTTGCTCCTGTGTGCTTTTGCCTCATTGCATATACATTTGTGTTTCCCTCTCAAAGCACAAAATGCCTAGAGGAGTTTATCATATTGAAGCACCTATTCTGATTTAAACAGACTGACAGTAACTATAGACTGTGTGTTATTTAATGCACGAGAAAAGGTTGCCTTATTTTTGGAGCTTACATCACATACTTTCTTGACGAGTAATAATTCAGAGTCATGATTTCGACTGAGTTATGTTACCTGCCTGTGTTCATTTGAATGGAAGTTCTTGGTAGATAATATGCTAAATTGGCCACCACCATGAGCACAAAGTGTTGCTAGGCTGTTGGTAGTTAGCACCACTCTTAGTAAAGCTGCCCCTTAATATCAGAATTGAAATCAAAATTCTGGTGAAAACCTTATTGCAGAATTTCACAGTATTCCTGTTACATGAGAATCATGCATTTGTAGTTATAACAGCATTAGTTATTGTACGCTGTTGACGAGTCTGAGATGCTAATGAAAAGTGTTGCTACACTGTGTATTAGGTAATTAGTAAGTTACTATGTTCGTATTAGATTAATTACAGTTATGAATAAGTGCTGCTCCAGTATTTCAGTAATACATAAATAAATTACCAAATGTAAAAGCTCATTATTTTGTGCCGTTCTGATTAGATCCTCTGTAACTTTCCGCATGTCTCTGCTTAGGATTCTGTCAGGCCGGCAAAGACCTGCGACTGGCCTCTATAGCAACTGAATGCCTGGACGTGCCACCAGGATTTCTACTGGTTGGAGCCAAATCACCCAGTATACCCGACCACATACTGGTGTGCGCAGTGGACCGGCGCTTTCTCCCAGATGAATGTGGGCGTAACGCACTTTTAGGTCAGAACTACTAAAGTTATGTTGAGTTTGTTTCAATGTTTTGTTTGAGTTGTTGAGCTCATCACTACAAAAAGCAGCATTTTGTCAGTGAAGTACTGAATAAATACCAGCCTGCTTACAGCACTATGCAGAAGTCAGAGACCCCCTTCATTTATTTTTAATTCATTAATCTTCAGTCAGAATGGCTACTAAGTATGAGTTCATTTTTCATGTGATATTTCTGAGATATAAGATATCAGCTTACATAAGGAAGGAAAATCTTATAGGAAAAAAGTGAAAATAACAGGAGTTTTCAAAACAGGAGCTGATCAGCCAAGTTGGCTGACCGACTGCATTTGAGGTTAGTGAAATATCGTGTAAAACTGATTTTTTTGCTGAGCTATTCACTCTTCACTGTTGAGACAAAAGAGAAAATCTGTCTGTCCTTCCACTGTAAGATGACAGCTTAAGGCTATGGGTCTGAAAGAATGTGAAGTTGTCGAGAAGCCCTTACTTAGAAAAGGAAGTAGACAAGAAAAGAAAGAAAAGAAGAAAAAAGAAAAAAAAAGAAGCTGCCGGTCTTCCCAGAACAATGAACTGTCCAGAGTAATCCCTATTACTGTTTGGGATTACTTGGATTGTGAGAAGCAGAAAGTGCAACCAATTTCCAAACCTGAAACCAAGCCTCCTGAAAAGAATGGAAGCTGTAATAAAGGCTAAGACTGAACTCACTGACTAGTGATACCTTTGATGTTTAGGTGTTGAGGCTAATTTTCTGTAAATATATGTTTTCAACTTTAGTTATTAACGCTGAAATTTTATGGCCGTTTTGACTATATAATAAGTGAATGAAGGGTGGTCTCTGACTTTTGCACAGTACTGGCAAAGATCCAATGGCACATATGAATAGTTTAAGTAAACTGGTTTTGTTGATTGATTATATTACTTCTTTGCTCAGTCATTTAGTTATGTAACCTAATTTTCAGTGCACTCTCGGGTTTTTAAATTGAGAAAATTGAGGGCCTGTTAAACAAAGAACAGCAGATGGAAAGAGAGTGAGGAGCTTCCTGTCTAGAGCAGGACAAACAGCTGGGTCAGGCCACCCTAGCCCAGTGCAGGCAAACCTGCGCTTATCATGGAGCCGTTTTTAGCTCTTCAATTATGGTTTCTGTGGCGTTCACATCAGCTCTGCACCAGCCGTGACTATGGAAACTGGGCTTCTCTCACAGCAAACTGCATTTCAGCTGATTTCCACTTTGTTCTCTCGAGCACTCAGATAGAAGATACACCACCAGAGATTACACAGCGGTTCGGACAGGAGTATCTCTTCAGCTTGCTGGATCTGAACTAACGTCTTTTTTTTGTTCAGGGTTCTTGGGGAACTGCATGGGCTGTGGCGAAAAGAGCTTCCGTTACTTCACGGAATTCTCCAACCACATCAACCTGAAGCTGACCACGCAGCCCAAGAAGCAGAAGCACTTAAAATACCGCCTGCTCCGCAATGCCCAGGGGGTGCTGGTAAAGGGCCCACCCATCTGCTGGAAAGGAATAGGTAAACCACGCAGTGTGCAGCATGTTAAACAGCCCCTACCATGAAAAACTGAGTTTTCTGCACTTTTTTGAAGTAAAAGTGTTTTATATAGTGTAAACATTGCTAAAGTTTGAAGAGGCACTGTTAACCCTTCAGTCCATACAGCCCATATATGGAAACTAAGCTGTTTTTGAATTCATTGTTTCTGTGAGTCTCAAAAAACAGCACATTTGCATAAACCCTCCTAGTCTGCCTGCAGCATTTTAACTCTTAAAATTTTAAATCTTAAAGGCATAATAATTAAAACAGCCTGTTGAGTCCTGGTGGATAAACAGAGTTTGGAAAATGGTCATGTAGAAATGAATTATGACTGTTTTTGGTACATAAACCCACACAAATGTCATAAGTGGACAATAATGTGGGTATGTGTCTTTTAAAAGCACATTGCTGAAACCTAAATGGAAAAAAGTAAGTAAGAATTATTTAGCTATAAGTTTTAAAGTTTTAAAATCAGCTTTTTATTGAAGCACTTAAAGGAGAATTATGCCAATTATAAAATTTGCATAATTCACTCATTCAGATGTAAGTAAAGTCATTCCAAGGTTTGATGTGAAATGTGCCATTCTAGATAAACTTATGGGGTCAGGATTATTCCCAATGATGGTAACAGGAACCGAACGACAGCAGCGTTTAATGCCTCTAAAAGTTCCTCGCAGAAAGCTGTTGCATGAAATGGCTACAGATATCTGATCCTGAGACATTGTTTTATGGTAGATAAGATTAAGCTTTTGACTTAAAATATGTGTTTTTAAATCCGTCACTGGTGGAGAGGTACATGCAGGGTGTTCTAAGGCATGATAATAACCAAGGAATTTTTTCAGATTTTACAATATTGTACCATTATCAACATTACATATGGAAACTCGAAAGACACGTAGATTAACGGGTCATTTTCGATAGTATATAAAATGTCTACATTTGTGTTGTAGATGTTGCGACCCCTGGTTCCGATCACCACCACTGTAAAAAATCTAAGCTGATAAGTTTTCTGCAATGAACCATTTCACTTCAAACAACTCTGAATGACTCTGTGTGCATATCAACGATTAAAAAAATGCAGATATTAAAAAAACAAAAAGAAAATCAGTGGAATTATGTTTTTATGATGCAGCATCTAAAAGTAGGTTGTAGGGTGCGTTCAGACTTTGCAGGTTTGCTTTGATTAAAACAAACCCTGGTGCTGTTGCTCTGTTGTTGCGGTTTGCTAGATGAGAACGCTGCCATCCGAACTCTGGCACACACCAAATAGAGCGCGCCGCGCTGAGCAGATCTGTCTCGGTTCGTTTGAAATATGAAATATGACCAAAGGTGTTTGAATGGAACATATAGACAGAAAGAACCGCTGTCTCTGCTCTGCATACCTTGTTTGTTTTAACACATGCATGTGTTTTATCATCTCTTCATGAGCTCTGAATCGGTAATTATAGAACGGATCGTTTCAGTTTAAAGTAAGGGTGTTAAGAGACAAGTTTACAGCCATTATGAAATGCTTGTTATGCACAATTGACTGCATGCATAAATTATATTTATATATTATATGTATATTATATATTTATGTGCCAAATTTCACAGTTTTGTAAATGTGGTAAGCCTCTTGAGACTGTATTAATGGGTGTCACCCTGTTTAGAGTCATGCAAAATCATGATAATGCAGGGAGTCTCATGGCTTATTGCTCCTCTATAACAAGACTGATAAAACAAGACATAAATAAAACCAACAAGCCCAGACTGCACAGAGAACAGCACCAATTCAGAAAGTTCATTTATCGTCAGTTACTGTATTTCACAAAATCTGCCCAGTCAGTTGAGACTTTTTACTCGTATGACTTCGATGCTAACTATGTTTGTGTGAACACAAAGCAAACCAGAGCTAAAATGACAATGTGTTATTTTTTGCTTTAGTCCAGAGCAAAAGAACCAAACTACTATAAGCGCACGCTAACTCTTCCTCTTTTTATTTTTCAAATTAAGGCTCTAGGGTTTGAAATAATGTTGCCAATTTAAATGAGTCAAAAGGGAGAAAGTGTAAATGAAGCTGATTCCTGTGATAGCTTGGTGGTTTCTGTCATGACTAAAATATTAAGTTAGATGCCGTAGACCAGGATTGCACAACTCCAGTCCTGGAGGGCCGGTGTCCAGCACAGTTTGGTGATTTACCTGCTCAGACACACCTGGTTACACTCATCTGTTAATTGCCAGGTTTAGTGGGTGTGTTTAAGTAGAGAAACCACCAAGCTGTGCTGGACCAAACCCTCCAGGACCAGAGCTGTGCATCCCTGCCCTAGACAGTAAATAGCTGAAGGGCTTGAGTTTGTGTCAGTTCTTCTGAGTCTATCTGAGAAACAGGAGAATAGGAGAAATAATATATCCTGCAAACCACAGACTAGCAGTAAAAGCCCATAGGCTACTTACAGTAGAGAAGTGGACGTTTTTTAAGAGTTTCGAGTCGAGGTACATAGGGTAAGGGTGAATGATGTGACTACACAGTATTAAATATGTTCTTATATGCTTATCTATTTGTAGATAGCCGTGTAAGACAGACCACCTCTAACATGTCTGGTGGTCTAGAGGAGCATCCACCCAGCTCTGGAGCCAATGATCTGCTGCCCAGTTCAGGACCTGCAGGCCTAAACACAGCCAGCTACACAGGTACAGTGTTATATATGTACAGTGTTTTATATATATATATATATATATATATATATGTTTATATATACATATATGTACAGTGTTATATATACAGTGTTATATATCCAAACACTGCAGATTCCCATTTAAGGTCTAATAAGGGGGCTTCACACTGCGTTTATTTTAAAGCCATAATACACTGAAATTTTTTCCCGGCGGTTCACATTGCATTTTTTTTTGTTGCTTCTGTCTGTAGAACCAGCAGATTTCAGGACTGTTTAACTGCCACTGCTAAAAACAATGTCACTAAAACACACACAGGACTTATGAGCTAGTTTTGTGTCCTGAAGCAGCCAAATTTGTAAAAAATGTCCATAGATAATCTTTACCAATAGAACGAGATGCTGTGGAGCAGCTACACAAGTCTGAAGTCACCAGGCACTGCGCCTTTGAGCAGTGAAACTACATTTTCTGGAGTGATGGCGCTCCATCCAGTACCTTTAGGATGAATTGGAGTGGTTTTATGGTCCAGAACTAATAATCTAAAATCAGTATCTGACCTCCTTAATGCTCTTTTGGCTGCAATGAAATCTTCACAGCAATGTTCTAACATCTAGTGTAAAGTCTTCCCAGAAGAGTAGAGGAGGATATTGGAGTAAATAGTTATTAATACCATTGATTTCAGAAGAAATGTTGGATGAGCAGCAGCCTACAAACGTTTGGACATACAGTGCATTTTCCACCATTATGGTGACCTCCGCCTATATACGTACATGTAGCTTGACTGTGGGCGTGGCACAAGCGATTTCCCACCTTGATATGATCAATCTGATTGGTCGACACTCAGCTCATTCACATGAAGTTCATCCAGCATGAAAGAGCAGAGACCACCCCCTTGATAACACCCCCACCACCCCCTTGATAACAATACAAAAAGATGCATCAGTCTGTAAAAAAAACACATCCGCTGTGAACCTCTGAGACCAGCTGAGGTTATCTAACATTTTAGATAGACTAATGAAGATCAACAGCTGGTTGAACATTTCTGGTAGCTTTATTTTTGTACTCTGTGTTTCTTGTGTAACATTTCCACAGATCTGAACACCCATCTCCAAGCGTCTGAAACCTCCCCTCACATGGCCAATGGCAGCCATGTTCCTGCACCCCAGCAGGCTTTGCCCCAGACAGGCTTGACTGCCCATGGCCCAGGAAGACCCACAGTTACAGGTAACATTTCGTACATTTCAGTCACAAAATGTTCAGATTTGTTCGATTTGGCCCCAATACCAAAAAAATCACATTGGTGGTAAATCAAAAAGTAGCTGTGATGTGCTAAACCAGAAAAAAGAGGTACAACCACCATTTTATTGTGCTGGTACTGGAGGGCAAGATGGGAGGTGGGGGTGGGGGGGCGGTGCAACCCTCCCACTGTCAGATTTCACACCTCCAAGAAAAAAGCCCCCACTTTAAACCCCCAAAGTGCTTTAGGAAGACCTCCAGCTGTATTGTCTGGTCCTTTTCCTCCTCTGCTTTTGTGTTCTCTGGCTGTTATTATTCAACGCTTGGGGCAGTAAAAAGTCTCCCTCACCTCCATAAAGATCTGCTGTAAAAAACTCTTTTTGTCTTTCCGCCTCGTGCTCAGCGTCATCGTAAAATGCGAGGTTTTCTTCACGACACATGCAGTTTGTAGTAGAGTTAAACACATTGCTTCCTCACTTCTGTTGCCCTGCAGCATAAGAAGAGCTCAACACACACATTTACAGCCTAGTTAATGTACAACTGACTGACGGCTTCCTCTGAGACTAAAACCCTGGGACTGTTCTCGCTGGTCCCTGATCTCACAGCGCCAGACTGGTATTAAACAAAGCTGTATGAAGAGACGGGCTGTCATGATTAATTGATTTAAAAAAAAAAACAATCAAAATTTACAGTGTTGATCTTTGAGTGTTGAAATTGGCAGTGATTAGCAGTTTGCTTGATGATCCAAGCATGGGGGAGGAGCTTAAGCAACATATCAATTGCCCACCTCCATGTGCCCCAATATTATTTTGTATCTCAGCATGAAAAAGAATTAAAGCCTCAATAATTTGGATCAGAAAAAAGTAATAATTGCTAATAAAAGTACAATAAAACAAATATTAGCTATATAAGGGTAATTAGAATATATAAACCACCTTAAATATTAAAAAAATAAATGACTATTCAGTGAAGAGATCAACTAGAACATCTAAAAATACTTCTATAACCAGAACTTCTAAAAGTCTAAACAAGAACACAGTGTCGTTGATGCAAAGCACCACTTACATGAAGGTAAAGTACTTGAGTGCTAATAGCTCCCCCTTGTGGAGAATCTGCCTGTTAAATGCGAGCGAGTTACAAGCCAGGTTCATCAGGTGCTCTGCATCTAAAAATATGAGCTAAAGCAAATGTGTGTAAATGGGAGTGTCGACAGTTGTATGCAAAAGTTTAGGCCAAGCCTGGTCGTACGTTTAGCTGATTTTCTATGTGATATAAATGTAGTTCTGCACGTTTTAATGCACGTTTTTTTGCAGGCTGAAAATTCTCCCCAAGCACTCAAGCACCTTTTGGATCTTCATAAAGCCGTACTTTGCATCAGTTACATGATGCATCCTTGTTTATAATGAAATCATGAAACTCTAGTTTATCTCTTTCCTGCAGATTATTTTGGAATCTGACAGGCTTTGTGTGGTTTGTTATCGATTGTTGTCCTTTTTTATTGTTTCTATTGTTTGGCTCTTTGTAAAAGCCATTAAAAGAATTGCTAACACAGGTTGCTAATATAATCAACAGCCCTGTTACAAATGGTAAAGTTAAGGTTGTTCACCAAAGCTGATTATCTCGTCTCTCCTTTAAGGTTCCATGGCTAATTCAGGACCACCCAAAAAGAGGCACAAAGGCTGGTCTCCAGAATCCTCAGCACCAACCGAAGCTGTTCATAGACCAGCTTCATCCAACACAGTTAAAGGAACCAGATCAGGTACAAAACTCTACCACACGCAAACAGACTTGAGAAGGTCAAACCTCTTCAGATCCAGATAGAGGCTTTAAAGCAATACTTTGGCACAGAATCTACACAGAGTCCAAATGTAGTCAGTCAGCCAAGACATGTTTGTGAAGTTTTTTTGGTTTGCACTGAAGTTGTAATGCTAATGTAGCTAATAAGTTGACTAATAAGACACCAGTTAGCGCTGTGCTAACTGCAGACCTGAATCATCACATGCCTGCTTCAAATCTATAATAGGCTCTAATGGGTTGCTTATGCGGTTTCTGACAGTTCAGACATCTACAACTACTGTGTTAGCAGTGTTTTTTGGCTTTTAGCATTATGTTGTCCATTTTTGTAGATATCAGAGAAAGACAATGTGAGAAACTGAAAAGTAAGTTTAGTTAAAGTATTGATATTTTGCCAAACTATCATTGTAAGTGAAAAAAACAGATGAGATTGCACTTTGACTCTAGAGAGAGTTCTGTTTGAGAACAATACGTTATCAGCGTTTGTCTCTCATTAGTGCTGGAATAAAATGTTTCCAGTCAGCTCTCAGGAGGCACCTGTAGAGAGGAGCACAACACAAAAGCACATCAAAATAAAATGCTTTAAACAGTAAACAACATGACTAATGAGGATTAAGATTAAAGAGTGGTTAAATAAAAAATTAAGCAGTGTTATTAGTATTATATTCTGGGTTCATAAGCTTTGGCTAAGACTATTGTAAGTGAATGGATGTGTGTAGGTAGTGCAGCACAGCTGAAGCTCTGAGTGTGAGAGCTTTTAAACTGCTGAATTGGTGTGAGTTATGTCCTGCTGTGTGTGTGATCATGTAGCAGACAGTGTGGCTTCAGGGTTTGTGTCTCAGGGGTCCTCGCCACCTTTGCCCCCAGGAGAGTCTGTCACAGTGCCCGATGGCCTCCTCCAAACCTGTGGACTACAGCCAGTCGTTTTTAAAGGTGATGCACTCAACCTGTACACACATACACAGACAACATTCAGTTAACATAGCAGCTTTTCATTTTTCAGGAGAAATATCAGGGGAGATATAAGATAATCCAATTGCATAAGGAAGGAAAAAGTCAAAGTTAAGAAGTGATAAAACAAGACTTTCCAAAACTGGAGTTCAAAAAATTATCAAAAGATACAGAAAAATAACAGTGAAGATCTTCAAAACCGTCACCATCAGATAAACCCACAGGTGTTTCTGTCCGACCTTCCCAGACAACTCAGCTCTATGAGTCTGAAAAGAATGTGTAACTGTCAAGAAGCCGTTACTGAGAAAAGGAAAGAGACCAAAAAGACAATTTGTAAATCATACAAAGAAGCTGCAGGTGTTCCAGCAGCCCTGACCTCAGCGTCACTCAATGTGTTTGGGATCACGTCAGTGCTGAGAAAATGCAGCCGACTTGTAAGACTGAACTTGTAAGACTCTGGTCTCCTGAAAAGAATAGAAGCTATAATTAAGGTTGAGCACATGGAAAATGTATGTTATACTTAAGGTTGAGCTGTTTGTGTAATTATTTTATTCCTGATGCTGAAAAATTTAGATTTGTATTTAATGGCCAGTTTGACTTCGTAGTTCTGCAACGCTTTGTAGTTTTTAAACTCTGTATTTAATTGGAAATGGTACAAAGACAATATCAAATGTTGAAACTGAGAAATGTTATTGTTTTGAAAAATATATATAAAACATATTTTACATTTTATTTACATTTTACAAAGTGTCCCAATATATTTGGAAACAAAGTTGTACAATTACGGGTTGTAGTCCATCTGATTTGCTGCATTTTTGGTTAGGTCCCTTTTAGCCTGTTCTTAAATGGTCAGGATCCCTGACCATTGGGTGGTGGGTCATTCTCAGCACTGCAGTAACACTGACATGGTGGTGGTGTGTTAGTGTGTGTTGTGATGGTCTGAGTGGATCAGACACAGCAGTGCTGCTGGAGTTTATAAACACTGTGTCCACTCACTGTCCACTCTATTAGACACTCCTACCCTGTCAGTCCACCTTGTAGATGTAAAGTTAGAGACGATAGCTCATCTGCTGCTGCACAGTTTGTGTTGGTCATCCTCTAGTCCTTCATCAGTGGTCACAGGACGCTGCCCACAGGACGCAGTATTGAAGGATAAAGTAAAAGGGGGCTAACAAAGTATCAGAGAAACAGATGGACTACAGTCTGTAACTGTAGAACTACAAAGTGCACCTATATAGTAAGTGGAGCTGATAAAATGGACAAAGAGTGTAGAAACAAGGAGCTGTACTTAATGAAGTGGCCAGTCGTTGTACATTTACACAGGACAAAAAGTAATCAATTAATTCTGATCCATCTGAGGAGCAACATGATGTTACATTTCATTGAAATAGAGCTTGTCAAAGCCAACATTTTAATAGATGTGACTGTGGACACAGCAGCATTTAGACTAAAGAGGTGAGAGTCGAGGTCATTCACCTGAGGTTAAATAGCATGTGATGCATGTTTGTCTGCAGGTCATGGGGCTCTTCCTCGCCTGTGTGGGAACACAGGTGATGTGTTGGTGAGTGGACATCTGCAGGCATGTTACTGCAGCTCCCAGACCCTCCCACGTGTTTATGAGCAGTACGGAACCTCCTCTGTCCAGCCCCTGTCCACAGAGATGCAGGTCCTGCTGACCGTCTACTACCTGGTGCAGCTGGGTGAGAAACAGAACCACACAGTTCAGACACTTAATGGCTGACTTAATTCTAATAGAATGAACCACATATATGTGTTATTCAGAGTACGTCATGCATCTGTTTTCAACTTATTGATGTATTGAATTCATGACACTAGAACACAGGATAAGCGGCTGAGATTTGAGAAATGATATTGTGCCAAGGTATAGCTTTGTGTGTGCTGTATTTAATTTACATTACATAATTATTTCAGTGTAATGTCATTATTACAGTTTCTTAATGAATTACATTATTTACATTTTATATCATTAGCTTTGAATCTGCATTTTTCCTGTTTGTTTCAAAGTCAAGAAATGGCAAAAGACATGGCAAAAATATGAAGGATGTTTTTTCAGCTCAAATTATAGTAGAATTTCTCCTTTTGTATGTATTAACACTAATGTTGAATAAAGTGTGGAGTCTAGACTTTGTTTCGAAGAGCTGCAATAGAAACAATTCATATTTAAAGTTAACATGTTAACTTCATTTGTGTTTAATTTAATTCATTAATGCTGCACATTAAAGCTAAAAAGGCATCAACCATTGTAGTCCAGACTGAAGCCACCACAGCTTTCCCTTTCCAACAACTAACCGACACCAAGTTAAACCAAAAAAATTCTGCTGTTCACAGTCAGTGACTTGTCTGGAGCCTCCAGAAGGCGTAGAGATACACTTTTTCTCACAATATTGGACCCCCCCCTCTTCGTTGTTCATCAGTTGGTTGATTGGTTGAGTCCTCTGTCAGTTTATAATTAGGTTAGTAGTTATTCTGACATTTCAGGTCTTTAGTCCAGCTCCTGAGATCCTAACCAATGGGAGAGCTGGCTTGGCTGCATCTACCCAGATACCGGAGAGAAAACCAGTTTTCTTTTTGCTGTGTCAAGAATGGGACCCTTTTATTTTCAACCAAAATGTGACAATGAAATTACTACTGTACTTGCAGAGTTTAAACACAAGAAGCATGATGATTATATTAAATAAACTAAATATTACAGATGTTTATTTCCCAGAAATCATTAAGACGTCTCTGTTGGCCTGAAAAGGCCTTGACGGTTCTCCACTGGCTACAACAAAAGCATTACTTTATAAATGAAAAAAGTCCTGTTTTAGGGTCAAATTTGAACAAATAAGTCAAATACAGTTAATCCCAGTTCACCACATCACACCATGTTTTGTTATCACTAGCAATAACTGGCACTTCTAAAGGGGGTTAAAACAATTCTTTCAGCACCTCTGGATAATCTTATATAAATGACTATGTTTGTTAAAATCCTAAAAATGCTTATATAGTTATCAGTATATCATAGTCATCCTGCCTGTATGTACAATCTCAGCCCCCGATCAGATGCCCCTGATGGAAGACCTGGAGCAGATCCTCATGCGTTCCTGGCGTGAATCGCACCTTTCGGAAATCCGGCAGTACCAGCAGAGCCACCCTCAGTTCCCCACTCCTCTGCCAGGCCTGGCCCAGCCCCTCACCCCCTCCCAGCTCCCCTGGCTGGCCAAACTGGCCACTAGCTCCTCCGGAGAGAGTGTCCTGGTACTGGACACGGCACACTCTCTGGCTGCGGCACTGGACGGCACCTTCCAGAAGCTGATGGAAGGCAAGCTGAGTCAGACGCATTATGTGGTGATCATCTGCATGGGCAGGAGCCAAGAGACCGAGTCCTGTATAGTGGTGACAGGTAAGAGGCAGGTCTGGATTTCAGATGTTCTGAGGGTTAGAATAACTGAGAAGATGTGGATTTGTGGACTTACAAATGAAGGCAGACATAAATTAATGTGTTATTTCTCAGTGAGGATCTCCTAGGGACGGTTGATATACCCTTTATTACTGCATTATTTATTCATTATTATTATATTATTGCAATATGCAAATAAGCTCCCTCAAACTGCTTTATACCACCCCAGCCCACACTTGGCACTGTGCATAGTAATCTTAGGCTTCTCTGAAGCTGCTGGCCTTGGAAACCCATTTAATGAAGGTCCTGATGATCAGTCCTAGTAATGTTTTCAGAGGCAGTTTGAACTTCGTAGTGAGTGATGCAGTAAAGGATCAGTGATTTTTATGTGCTACATGCTTCAGCACTCCATTCTGTGAGTTTGCATGGGCTGACGCTTTGTGGCTGAGCTAATATTGTTTCTAGACACTTCCATTTCACAATAACATGTAGATGGGGAGCAGAAGCAGGACAGAAGTTTCATTAGGCAAAGGTGGCATTATATGATGGTGCCATGTTTAAAGTCACTGAGCTCTTAGGTGCAACCCATTCTACTGCCAGTGTTTGTGTGTGAGATTGCATGGCTGTGTGCTTGACTTTATGCACCTGTTAGTGATGGGTGTGGCTGAAACACCTAAAATCAATAATAAGGAGGGATGTCTACATACGTTTGGCCCTGTAGTGTATATCGCTGTCATGGTATGTAGCAACATGATCGCAATATGTTATTTTGTCCATCTCGTGCAGCCCTAGTGTATCTGTAGTATAATAGCCTCATTATTTTCTCTATAGGGAAGCACCAGTCACGAGCACTTGCAGAGAGCACGCTCTCTCCCAGCGACTGCATGAGCGAGATCAATCAGGAGCTTTCCTCCGGGATGGCTGCAGAACTAGAGGCCTACTTTAGCTCCCTGGGACTCGGTAAGGCTGCTTTGTTTAGACATTCAATTTTAAAGCAGACTGGGAGCCACTTTCCAGCAAACACAACAAAACTGACACCTTCAGACGTCTCTGCTTCTGTACAATTTTAAAAGAGTCTCTTTGCAACACAGATGGAGATGTGGATTTGCTAGAGAAAGCCAGTCCAGAGAAGTCCAGCCCCTTTACTCAAGGCTGTGTGCAGGAACTGTCGGGAGAACCCACATGTACAGGTGAATTTCACATAATAAACATACATTGCTTAACCATGAAAATCGAAACGGTACCTAAATTACTTCAAAATACCTGAAGCATCATAGTATCCAGTGTCTGATTTACATCCTTGACAGAATACCGGGCGGAGTGGCGGGAGATTCGGCCCATTCAGCTCGCTGTGGCACGAAAGCTGCTGTCCCATGTGTGTGCCATCGCTGACTCCAGCACGCACAACCTGGACCTGGGCTCTTTCGACAAAGTGGAGTTCCTGATCTGTGTGCCCCCATCTGAGGTGGCCTTCCAGCAAGTGGTCCTGCACCTGTGGAACTCAGGTAGAAGATCAGTCTAATAGTTAATCTTAGGTAATTCTCTTACATCAGCAACTCTAGAATGTAGTTGAACAGTGACTTACAGTTTAACAGTTCGTACTGAAAAGTGCTTTTCTTTTGGCTTTTTGTGTTTATTGTGCGCAACGATTAAAGTACAAGTCTAAAGAGGGTCAGATTAACCATTGTGTATTGTTGATTAAACAGACGTTACTGCTGCCCTCTAAAGGTGTTATAGCACCATGTCAGACGTTGGAACTTAGTAAGTAATTGTTTTTGTTAGACCAGTGACGTCTTAATAAACTCATTTTCTGCGTTCTTTTATTTATGAGTTTGCCTCAATCTAACTGATCAAAAGACTCTCAGTTCACATTCTGTCCATTGTACTGTAAACATACCATTGTGACTGCGAACATCAGTGGAAAACAACTGTGATCAGCTCAAATACCTTTTATTTACTTACATAATAATTGTGCAGAAAAAGCTAAATCTTTTAAGAATGGTTTAACAGGGCAGCAGCAATGCATTGTCACAATGTCATATTATGATGCAAAAATTTGACAGCATGCATCACGGAGGTTAGTTAATCAAGTTACCGTGGTAACAGAGTCCAATAGAGGTAAAAACTTATTCACCGCAATATCCGCAATATACTTATTATGTTAATTTATTGAGTTGATGCAAACCATAGTAATACACCAGTATTCCCACACATAAATGTAACGGCAATTTTAAATGTTTGATGATGTACTATTCTACTTTAATACCACATTTATTGTGCATTGTGATATTGTAGATATCATGCCTGTAAAAAATCCACCTCTGTCGTACGGGGTACATTTTAGGACATCTTCAGATCTCAACGTCAGGTTTCACACTGAAAAATGCCTTCGGTCTCGAGAAAAATACGAGTAAAAACATGTCTCAGCTCTCATTAATCAGGCAAAATGAGTCATTTCAAACAACCTCAAGCCAAATAGCTTCAGAAAAAAAGGCAAAGGGCTAAGCTAAGCAGCCACAAACTCTCAGATGGTAAAATTCATGTGACATTCGCAATGCTGTTCTACCTTACTGGATTAATTAAGTTTTGTGGCCAAATCAAAGATAATATACTTCAACCACAACTTTTATTGAAGTGCTGTTAGTAGTACTGATATACTTATTCTCTCCTATTGTGCCCTGTGCATTCATAGGGGTTCTGCAGGAATTAGGCCTGGACCAGGACTGTCTGTCCCCAAAGGATGCTGAGCAGTATGTGATAAAATTGGACCAGGCTGCAGTAGCAAAGATCAGTGGCCTCATCCAGAAATCCAAGCTGAACCCCTACACCCTCTTCATACTGGTGCATGACCATGCACACTGGGACATTAGCAGGTAACAGAGCTCTGTCCAACATTTGTCCTGACCTAATTGTTTAGCTGTTAAGCCCACTGTCAGCTCAGGTGTACAGCCCCAATCTCTACCGTAAAATCTAGTAATGTGTCATACACCATTTTAAATACCCAAATATTACAGAGCTAATTCCAGAATTGGAAATTGGTAAAATGCAAATAAAATCAGAAAATGGTGATTTATAAATGTCTTTTACAGATGATTAACTGAAAACAGCACCAGAAAAGATGCGCTATATTTGACCTTATCAACTCTATGTATGCTAATTCTGAATTTGATACTTGCAGCACAGTCCAAAAAAGTTGAGACAGGAAAAATGTAAGACTGGGAAGTTTATGGAATGATCAAAAACACCTATTCTGGAACTTTATACAGGTAAACAGGTGAATAGATAACAGGTGATGCTATTGTGGTTGAGTATAACAGGAGCAGTCACAAAAATCTACAAATGCAATTTAAGACTCTACTATGCAGAGCAGAAGCCACATATCAACAACATCCAAAAACACAAGACTTCTCTGGGCTAAAGCTCATGTGAGACGCAAAGAGCAGAAGGATCATCCCAACTGTTACCAACACAAAGTACAAAATCCAGTGTCTTTCATTGTATGGGAGTGTGTTAGTGCCAATGGCTTCGGATGCTTGTACATCTGTGAAGGCACCATTAATGCTGATTTTGGAGCAACATATGCTGCCATCCAGGCGCTGTCTTTTCAGGGAAAGTGCCAACCCACATTGTGCAGGTGTTAAAACAGCATAGCTTCATAATAAGAAAGTGCCGGTCACACAAAAATGGGAATACGCCTCAGACTGTTAAGCAGCTCTAGTGTGATCAAGCAAGAATCTAGGCTGAAACTGACAAGACTTGCAACTAAAACATACTGCTGGTGTTTAAAGATTGGAAGGCTAAGGTCAGAAACGAGAAGGAGAGAAATACAGTTGGACAGCATGGCCTTGGAAACAGGGTTGAAGATGGAGAACGCCTAATCAACTTTTTCATTACTAATACATTCTTTTAGCAACCAAAATGTCATCTATACACCTGGACATCACCAGATGGAGCTCACCAAAACCAAATAGGCTGCATTCTGTGCACAAAGAGATGGAAGAGCTCCATTTTAATTGCAAAGATATGGCCTGGAGCTGATTGTGGAACGGATCACAAACTTTTAATGTGCAAGCTCCAAGTGAAGTTAAGAAAAAACAGCCAAACCATCTGACTTCCAAAATATGAACTGGGAAACATACCACCTGTCTTCAAAGAAAATATCAGGAATTGATTTCAAATGCTGGACATAATTGACAGAGAACCAGAGGAGCTATGGATCTCAAAAGAGGTCAACGAAGAATCAGAGAAAAACCTGGTAAGAATGAAAAGGAGAAATAAATCAAAGCGACTGATGAAACAGTGGAGAATGCAGAAAAGAAAAGTCAAAATCAAGAATGAAAAAGATCTTTTAAGAGAAATAAACCATCAGTTTTAGAGAGCTGCCAGGAAGGACAGTGACCAGCACTACAACAACAACTGTAAAGATATTGAAAAGAGGAACAAACATGGAAAAAACAAGGACTGTTTCTCAGAAGATGAGAGATCAAAATCACTTTCAGCCATGAGTCAGGACTCTAAAAGATGTCAGTGGACAAAATCATAACAGATGATAAAAAAAAGATGTAAGGAACGCACAGAAGTCCTCTACAAAAACAAATGTCAATGGCAGAGATGGTTTTGTTGGTAACTACACAGAAGAACCTTTAGTGCTAGAAGATGAAGTCAGACAGACGCTGAGATCATTGTCGGGGAAGAAAGCCACAATAGCAATCAATAAGCAACGGAAATCTTTTAAAACATATCTGGAAAACAACGAAATGGCTGCCAGATTGGAAGGGATTGGAGAAAAGAAAGAGTGTATAAACTATCACACAATTTCCAACATCACACGCCAGTAAAAATGTGCTTAAGATCATTCAAAGAAGACTAGAGCCTTACGTTGAAAGTGAAAGCAGGATTCAGGAAAGGCAGAGGAACAAATCATATCTTTGCAGCTGCACATTGGATCATAGAAAAAGCCAAGGAGATCAAGAAGGAAGTTGATATGTGTTTCATCAACTACAGCAAGGCCTTCAACTGTGTAAACCACCTAAAATTATGGACAGTTCTCAGGACAATGGGAATACCAGAGCATCTCATCATCCTCAGGAATCTGTGCACTGCTCAACAAGCCACGGTCAGGACGGAAAATGGACAAACAGACTGGTTCCAAAAAGGGGTTGGACAAGGCTGCATACTGTCAACATACCTGTTCAATCTGTATGCAGAACGTATGATGAGAGCAGGAACTGGAGGAAGATGATCAAGATGATCAAGGGTTCAGGATTGGTGGAAGAAACATTAATAACCTTCAATATGTGGATGATACCAAACTCAGTGGAAAATGTGGAAGACCTGAGGGCCCTTATCCAGAACGTTAAAGAGCACTGTCACTTTAGCTCAGTGTGAAGACTAAAGTTATGACGAGAGGAAAGACCGCTAACTCCACCACTGATGGAGAAGATGTGGAAATGGTGGACAGCTTTTGCTGACTCAGATCAGTTATTAACAACAGAGGATCCAGCACTCCAGAAATACGACACAGATCGGCACTCGGAGAACAAGGATGAAGGAGCTTGAACGGATCTTTAAATGCAACACTTTGTCTCTACAATCAAAGATCAGAACTGTCCAGGCTATGATTTTCTCTGTGGTTCTTTATAGATGTGAAAGCTGGACATTAAACAAGTGAAACAGGAAAAATATAGATGCCTTTGAACTTTGATGTTGGTGAAGACTTTTGAGAGAATCTTGGACAGCAAAGAAAACAAACTAATGGATCCTCTGAGAAGAACTAATTAATTGGAAAAGACCATTATGCTTCAAATAGTAGAAGGTAAAAGAGGAAAAAGATGACAAGCAACAAAATGAATGGGTATAATCAGGATCCAGACATTCAGAAGCCTAAAGACCCAAACAGAAGACAGGATGTTCTGGAGAAACACTGTTTATATGATCACCAGGGGTCAGAAACGACTTGACAGCACTCATAATAATGAAGAATACAGACGTATAAAGGGGCTGTGAAGATTTAGGGAAGATCAGTGTTGACACTGTTTGAACAGGGCGCTGGTACAGTAGAACGTCAATGAATGTAAAGTACATCAATGAGTGTAAAATTAACAGTTCAGGCACAAATGGATGAAAACTGTTTTTGTACTGGGCTTTTGCAGTGAACAGTACAGTAGGGTGGGAGGCGAGCCCAACTCGGGCCTAGTGGACAGTCTGCTGAACTGCAGGCAGATTCAAGAGGCGGCCAACATCCTGACCCTCCATGTGACCTCATTCCCCTTCGCCTTGCAGACTCAGTACACACGCATCAGCCCGTACAATGAGATCCACTGGCCCTCAGCATTCAACAATGTAAATATATGCATTTTTTTCAATTATTCTTCTATATCATTTAAGCAGAGCAGCTGCCCTTTACATCATGTGAAACTTTTGTGATGAATGGATCAACAGAAATGTTTCAAAATTGCTTGGAATAACAAGTCTTTACATGAACTTACATTAAAATAAAATAATGGTTTACATTGTAAAGCTGCAGTTTTGGAATTATTCTGCAACTATTTGCTTTATATTGGCTTAAGTATCAATAATCATATGAGTATTTACTTTGATTTAAGGGTTTAATTTAGATCTCAGGATGCATTAAGCCTTTATGTATTATGTGTGTGTATAGGATGTGGATCTGTACCAAGAGAAAACAAAGTACTTTGGTGTGTCTGAGCTGTTGGAGTCCACACGCTCAGGGAACAGCCTGCCTCTGCTGCGCTTTGACAGTTCGTTTGAGAGCATGGTCGCCGCTTTGGAGGAGAGGTAATCATTAAATCTGGCTGTACACGGTAAAGCTTTCATGCAACGAGTTGCATGTTGTATGTTGCATGAATCTTGCCAGTTACACAAAGCAATTCCAAAAGGTCAAGGTTGCACACAAAACAACCTTTTCTGTCTTTTTCAGTTGTCCAGTTATTTTCTTGTCTGTTGATTCAGTCGACTCAATTACCTGAAAGTATGTCGTTTTACAAGATCATGTAATGTTCTTTAGCCATTTTGATTGGCCGTTTTGTGAAATTTATTCCATGAAGTTGACACTTGTAATGAGTTCGATTAAATTGCATGATGTACTTTTTTCAGTTATATAAAAACATCCAGTTTTATAGGTTCATATTTTTAATATCTAGGACAGTTTCCATCTATGATGGGGGGTTGATGAGGGTGACGACAAAGCCAGAAGACTTTTTCACATTTTTACAGACACAAAATTTTTTAAAACAAACATTAACAGTAATGCAGTCTTTCACACCCTGGTAGATTTTGTAGTATTTTAATGTTAGGAGCTCTGAGCTTTTTTTTTAGCAGAATAGGATGTTACCCAGTGTTGTGAGTTGCACCGGATTAAACAAATAATAACTCAATCATCATTACTACTCAATGAATCCAGATTTTAAAAAGTACATTAGACTAGAAGTGAAGGTTCCAGCATCTACAACCATAGAAATTGGAGTTTGTTAGACTCTATTTTCCACTTTTTGTGGTCCTTTTGGTCTAATATAAAATGCTAAAGCACAAAGATTAGAGGTGTGAGCAACAGCAGTAGTCCAGGAAATGAACAAACACACTGGAGTTTTATTTGTTTATTACTCAGAATTAAAAAAGAGAATTAGTAACTGAGTGGCTGAAGTGGAACTTAGTAAAAAGTAAATTATTTACTCACACTGATAGAGACCTGCTCCTCCCTCAGGTTCCCCAGGCTGCACAGCGTGGTCATCCGCACTCAGGTACTACTCCAGCACTACTCTGTGGCTCTCATGGCCACAGCTAAAGGCCAGGCCCAGCTGCAGAAGCACACCTCCGTGGAGACCCTAGAGATGGTGCAGTGCCTGCTGGGTTCAGCACACCGCTGTCCCAATCACCACGGACACATGCTGCTGCTTCGGATTCCCTTTCCGGCCCTGGCAGCTCTGGCACACCAGCGACTCTGTCGTGTACGAGACCGTCTGGGGCTTCACGAACGTTTTGAAGTCGTACTGGGGGACCCCACATCTGGGATCGTAGTGGGCAAACATTTCCTCAATCAGCTGAGGGTATCTCTTCACTATGTTTTATTTACCTGTTTGTACATTTGCTTTAAAGGAATATTCCACTGTTTTTTAGCCTAAAATGCTGCATCTGTAGCATACGGTCAATTCCCACAGACAACTCCAGCACGGTTCCGTACAAAAGAACATAAAAGCTGTTGATTCCAAATGTACAATAGAAGCCAATGGGCTAAAGCTGAAGAAACTGCTAGTATTGGGTGGTATAGTGGTTGAAATTCTAAGTTTTGTCATAACCTTTACAGTGATATGCCATAGAAAATAGAAAAATAGAAGAAAAAAAAAGAAATTCAGTTATACCACCCACTGCTAGAAACTGCGCATTAGTATCTGTCATGAAAGTGCTGGGCTCTGTTTGTCCATGGTATGATACAAAGGTGCCAGATAGAAATTAGGTAAAGGTTTGCCTGATGTCTGTATACAGTGGCTCATTCACCATATCGCTGCTGTTGGGACAAAACCTCATATCTCCATTTTTTTAGTTTTTCTTTACACTGTGTGTAAATTTCATGATGAACTTGGTAAAAAGTCTGGTTCCATTGACTTACATTAAAAGTAAAGTAAGTTTTTCCTTTTCCTGTAAAGTTACCACTTTGGAGATACGAGGTTTTCTTCCGACAGCAGCGACATACTGATGCTCACTGCCTGTGCATCGTGTTTGTAGGTGTGGCTAAAGATCCAAGACCCAGAATGGACTCCACACACGTATCTGGAGCTGGAAGCTTTGCCCTGCATCCTAATCTTTACCGGCATGAATCCAATGGGGGAGTCCCTGCCAAGGTACAAGCACTTCACCAAACATAACTTCTGCTTTAGAGACAGATTCATAAAAAACTAACACTGTAGGGATTAATTACATCACAACAGCAAAGAATTTATGCACCAATGGTTTGGTTTGGTTTGGTTCAGTCTAATTCCTTCTTATTTACCAGTACTGAAAATGAGCCGCTTCTGTCTCTGACCACAGGCAAGTTATTGATGATCAGGTTATCGTCAGTTTAAGTACCTCGTTTGGTCTAAACTATGTATAAAGTTAATCTTCATAGATTTTCCTCCATCTCTGTCTTTGTATATAATTAATTACTGATACAAGTACAGTTTGTGAGAGAACAGCAAAAAGCTTGTTTATAGTTTTTACAAAAGGACTGTAAGTGACTGAACTCAGTGGAATGATCTCTCTAAGCCTGGCTAATATGGGTTTGATAGTTCCTTGAAATAACAGATGCGTTCAGTATCATTAGTGGTAACTGAAAGAGGTCAAGAAGACCTGCTTGAAAACTGGAGGGAATAATTAGCTGAGTCAGTGCTATGTCCTCTCCTAATGGACATTAGTCTTGGCAAGCAATTTGTTGTCTTGGCCCTGTGGTGCCGGCATGAGCCAGCATTTTCTCCATCTCTCATACACTGCACAGCATTACTGCATGAAGCATGGACTTACTTTCTTTTTCCCCTGTATATTATATACATTATCATTCAGAAGTTCAGAGGTCTGGAATCCTGGTTTTCAATAATATAAACCCAATTGTGTTGAAGATACTGTGCACTCACCTCCACTCAAAGATTTTCAATACGTTTTGTAACGAAAATTCTCAAATCAAGATGTTCCAAAGTTTTAACCCCAAGGAAGAGACAGGCAGTACAGTTAGTGCTCTCCTCCAGGTCATGGTCATGCTAGGCTTCACCCTTGCATTGTGCATGTATATATAAATACATATATATGATCATCAAGCACTTTCCTTTTGAACAAACAGGCTCCATTTATATACATTTGTTTATACCACATATAGTTGTTTTTGTTTTGTTTTTTAAAGAGTATTATTTAGAATTCCACTGTATGTTTCAGGTCTCTGAAATATTGTGACCAGCGGGTGATGAGCTGCTGCGCTCTCCAGCGGACGGCTCTGGAGCAGGAGCTGGGCTTGGCAGCTTACCTGGTGTCGGCAGAGCAGCAAAGCCAGCGAGGGGCCCGCACCTCCAGTGACCTCTCCGAAAGCGACCCTGACAAACTCAGCGGCACAGACAACGAGGAGGAAGAGGTGGTGGTGGATGGTCAGTTGGGCTGCATGTCCCTGAAACACATCACAAAGTTCATTTTACAAATATCGAGTCAGTGTGAATCGACAAGTACCTGTTTTAATGGCTTGACTGAGAGTTTTCTGAGTAACAGAACTCAAAAAAATCAGGATTCCAGAAATGAAGATCGTGGTGCTGTTACACCCATCAGGAAGTTCAAAGATAGAAATACTCAGAATTTATAACTGCCAATTCATTATTGCTATTAAAACTGGCAGCCACAAGACGTGTGTACATTGCTAATGTTTCTAAATTCATCAGTTGAAGCTCTACATAAAACAAATTCAGTCTCTTTTCCATTCACTGCACAATTAAGGACACTGTCCACTACAGCATAGTGTCCCTCCCTATATTTAAATCTTTCAAACTGATGTATGATAGACTAACTGCATTATTTGTTCTGTCAACGGTCAGAAAGAAATCCAGGAAACTGCATCATATCTCTGCCCACATTAGGAATTGGACTATATATTATTTTAAGCGAATGTCTGGGCCACAATAAAATTTAATAGTCTTTAAAGAACCTGTTGATGTTACTTACATCATCCATTTATTCCTTACTGGTTGTTATTGGTCTAAGTTTTACACATGCAGTGCTGTCATCTGAAACAGCTACACAGGCCTATATTTTTTGACCACTAGTCTCTAGTGGCAACTTGTAGAGTCGAGAAATTAACAATTTTTTTTAACACAGCTTGTTGGGAAGCTTTAAGAAGCGTCGTCTCAACTAAACATTACATTTTTATTTCAGAACATGCTTAATAGTGACGTTACCCTTGATCATGTGCGTGCATCAAAAAACAACTCACTTTACTTATATAACTGCATCAGTGATTCATTTCCCAAAAACATGTGATCACAGTCACGTGACTGCTTTAGAAACTGAAAAAAGAAGCAAACTGGTATGGGTTTCCATGGTTTAGGGCAAAGTTATAGGTGAATAAGGTTATATATGAATGCGCCTCTAAGGTAATGCCATTTTTTAGCGTATAACACACCCCATTAGACACCCAATCATTAGAAAACAAAGGTTTGGACTTTTATCCTACAAGGACAGAGTAGATTTATAGCTGCTGTTTATGCTTTTAACCACCAGGTGTCATTAATGTGCACTGACTTTAAAAGCCTCGTGTAATGAACCCTTTTCTGACACAGTTTAAAGAAAGTTTTTGCCATCTCTTATGTCTGATTCACATCATAAAAATAATGATAATGAATTATTGTTAATATGAAATAACTGTTTTCTAATATTTTAGCTATATTTTCCCACAGCTTCATGTTAATCAAAGGGCCTTTCTTGGTTTCTTCCTGTTGCTCTTAGGGAGTTTTTCTCCTCGAAACCTTCATCCCCGATGTGCTCACTAGGAGCCTGAATTGAACTGAATTAAAAGAATTCTATTTGTTGTATTTCTGTGAGGAACTCTGTGAGTCCATTTTTCTCATTTTATTCTCTCTGCCTCCCCCTGGTGGCCTGCAGTGAACAGCACACTGCTTGGTCCGGATCATTCCCGGACTGACTCTTCCCCTCACAAACAACAGCAGCCCGTCTTGAGTGGAGATACTCCTCATGGCCAGAGACGATCCTCCAAGTCCACTTCTCCTGGCTCATCGTCCACACAAGCACAAGCCTCCCCTCTGCGCCCGTTCTGCTCCTGGGCCCGAAACCTCAACCGGCCTCCTGTGGTGCTCCTCCCCAAAGCCCTGTACGATCTCATCACCACCATAGATGCCAGCGGTTTGCCCAAGCCTACGTCCTTTCTCCCACATGCGTCGGTGGAGTGGGCCAGCTCCTTTAGACCTCTCCTCAGCAAGATGATGACCTGCACCGAGCAGTCTCTGTACTACAGGCAGTGGACGGTGCCCAGGCCGAACCACATGGACAGCAGTAACCGGGCCGAAGGACGCACAGACAACTTCCACCCGCGCAGGCTGCTCCTCAGCGGGCCGCCACAGGTGAGCAGTTATATAGCATCATGTTGCAGCTGCAGTTTGACTCACAGTGCAACATACACAGTATTTCCATATTACATGATTGCAGGTTTTAGCTTATCAAAGGTTTGGAAACGTTTCCTTTTTTTGAAAATTTACTGTTGCTTTAGAGTTAAGTTGTGAAAATATGGCTGTAAAAGACCATAAAGCCCATATAATTGCAGTTACCCATTGCAGTTTAGCCCCGTCTGTTCTTACTGAAGTTATTAGGAGTGTTTCAGCCCTGACTGCTTTTTAAAGGCACTGTAGAGGACAGCCAATCAGAACAGAGGTTACTTACTTATATCGGTTTTAAAGGCACAGTAAGAAAATCAGCCCAGTAATGAAGATAAAAATGAATTATGACTTTTTGTGGTACATAAAGCCACACAAATGTTATAAGAGGCATCAACAAAATGTAGGATAAGGGTACAAATACATTTCTAGTTTTGGTTTTAGTAAGTTTGCAATGATCATAATATGGTGCTGACAGGGTTGGGGATACAAGTATTGGGAATACATATTCAGAATACAAATATTAAGTGTCTTTATTCAGCCCAGAATTCAGAATACAGTTTTTAGGAGAATATTTACTCACTACTTAATAAAACACATCATCTTTAAAAGAAACACCATCTATATTAAAATAAGCACATGGTGTGTAAAGATGTGTAAATTACTCTAATAAAGAACCCAAAAAACTAAAGCCTGAGTAGACGGATAAATCACTGTGCTGAGCCAGTTACTAAACTTAGCATTACTAAACTTTTGAGGGATGATGGAACTGAACAGTCTCCTCAGTAGTGGACATGATTAGCTTAGAATTGTTGTTCTATTAGACTGAATGCGTGCATCTCCTGGCACATTGTGTACACGTCATTAACTGAAAATCACATAACTGCCCACGTTATAGTCAAATTTGTAAGATTTTGTTTTTGGCATATGGTGAATTGTTTGTTTAGCTCATGATCTGGACTGAAGCAGGTGAAAAAAGAGTGCTGAGAATTTTGTAACTTCATTTAAAAGATGAAATTTTCATTGAAACTTACTAACAGAAGAATTACATGAAGAAAACTGTCAACCAGTAACAGCGAGGAACAGTATGAATTAAATACAAATTACAACAGCAGAGTTTTTCCCATGAGCCTTATCAGTCTGTATCCTATATGTATTTAAAATTTATTCTGAATATGTTACTTTTTAACGTGTTGCACTTGAATATGTTACTGAATACATTTAGGACAGAATACATTCAGTATTCAGCAATTATAACTTTAACACGGAGGGCTAATGAGTGCTGACATCACAACAAGGCACATGTTATTATTTCAAAGGCTAGTCTATAACATGTTAAATTATTGCCAACTGTCCAAGGAAGCATGCTGATTCATAATAAAAAGATTCCCCAAACCTTTGATGGGCAGTGTGCAGTGCAAAATAAATGTGTTGAAACACTCAGTATTTCCATGTCACATGATTACAGATCTATAAACGTCTGATAGTTCTGCCTCAGTATACCTTTCCTCAGGGATCTACACAGTCAGAGAGCTGTACTGAGCTGCTTCATGTGTCTCCAGGTTGGGAAAACCGGGGCCTACCTGCAGTTTCTTGGCATTCTCTCCCGCATGCTGATCAGGCTCATGGAGGTGGACATCTATGATGAAGAGGACATCAACTGCAGTCAGTATATGATGTTAAATTAAGAATTCATTAATTTGTCAGCCTTTCATCTTTAACATATTGTACATTGTCACATATAAAAGCAATGAATCAGAGTCATAAAGGCAGATGTAAATGTGTGGCTTCTCTCCAGATTCCCAGTCAGATTTAGTGCGCTATCATCAGGCCATTGCATCGTGGCCCAACGCTGACACCATGAGAGGAATGCCGTTTGACTTCACCATCCATGATCCCAAATACGAGGACATCAGCACAATCTACTCCCCTGACTTAACTCCAGATGTAGAGAGTAAGCACAACAGCAAAAAACAGCAGCATCACATGTTTATGGATCTTTCACCAAATTGGTTCTAAATGCTTTTCAGACCTTTAACTGACTTGGACTTTAGACTAAAATCTGTTTGCTTTGAATGACCTTCTGACTGTAGTTATGTTTATTTTATTAAAATAAATGGAACGTTCTATTTTTCACTAAAAACACAATCATAAACACTATCAATGCTTTACCAAATGTTTCAGTATCGACTGTTTCGGTAGTGACAGTTTAGATAATTTAGAACTTTGAACAGTCGTACACACATAAAATCATCATATTTTTCATTACAACACACAAATATTTATTTAATTGCAGAAAATATGTGTTTCAGTGGTGACATTTCTTAATGTTACACACTGATTTTCAGTGTGAAGATTTGAGTTTTCCTTTTTCATATGTTTTTGAAGAAAACGCCCGGCGTCAGGAGGACGTGTACCTCCGTCGACGTACAGCACGGATAAAACTCTCCAAATATGCAGCGTACAACACGTACCATCACTGTGAACAGTGCCATCAGTACATGGGCTTCAACCCTCGATACCAGGTGATGATCTGACAGAGCTGTACAGTAACTTCATCTTCGCCAAAATGAAAAGCAACTTCCTCTGACTTTTCAGAATTGCTGCACAATTAAAAGGTTACGACGTAAACAAAGTCATTCAGAGTGGTTTGATGAGAAACGCTCCGCTCTTGAGAAACTTTACTGCTCACAGTGCCAGGGGTCTGAAGAACAAGGGGTCTGAAGAATTCATCACTAAAAGTTTGTACATGAAATGGTTACGAATACACCGCCTGATACCGAAGACATTATTTTAAGTTAGTTTTGCAAAAAGTTTTTGGCCTAAAACACATGCAGATGTGCATGCAGGTCATTGTGGGGCAAAATAGACTCTATTTTGCCATAATCAACGCATAAAAACACAAACAGGTTCACGTGTAAAATGGCAATATAGTCTCTCTACAGTTAACCATCTGAATGTGTACATCTCAACAATCTCAACAAAATTCTGAAATTTCGATGGAAGTCCTCTTTGACATTTATAACATTGCTATAACATTTTCGCTAAGTAGTCTACACAGTAGTTTTGTTCTTTAAACCTTCGGCCCAATGTCTGCAAATGAGATTACAGTCTTTTTTTCTTTAACAGAATGTACTGTGAATTTACATTTTCAGCTGTACGAGTCGACCCTGCATGCCTTCACTTTCTCTCACCTCCTGCTTGGAGAGGAGATCCAGCTCTATTTCATCATCCCTAAATCCAAAGAGCATCACTTCTCCTTCAGCCAACCAGGAGGCCAGCTTGAGAGCATGAGACTGCCCCTCACCTCTGATTGGGTATGTACTATTAATTTTCAAATTGAGAAACCGGTAATATTTGCTCACCAGATATCCATAAAAAGTATAACAACTAGGTGTCAAAAACCACATTAAAGAATATACACTACTGTTCAAAGGTTTGGAATCAATGTACTAAAAACTTCACATTAATGAAATAATTAGTTAGATACTCTAAAGATGAATATTACAATGAAAAAAAATATTCTAAATTTAAAGAACAGAGCTGCAGATGATTCTAACATGGCTGAAAAACTGTACAGCATCGAGAATTCAGTATGATTCAAAAGAGGTGATCAAATCTCAGGGCAGATAACTATATATCTGTGTCCGATAACTATGAAAATTCATCAGCAAGTAGTCCAACCATTTAAGAACAGAGCATTTGCAAGGATTTTAGGTATTTTACCCTCTATGTTTCATAATATTATCAAAAGAATTAGGGAATCCAGAAAAATCAGAGTAATCATAAAAAGCAAGGCCAAAAACTGTAAGTGAACATTTGATCCCTCAGATGGGATCGCATTAAAAATGGGCATCACCACATGGGCTCAGGAATACTTTCAGAAACTGTTGTCAGTAAATTCTGTTCATCAAATGAACGTTAAGTCTGTACTACGTACAGCAGAAGCCACATATCAGCAACATCCAGCAACACCGCAGACTTATAAACACCGCAGACTCAAGGCTTCAGCTCATCTGAAATGGACTGATGCACAGTGGGAACATGTACTGTTCTCTGGGCCATAGAAGTAAAAAGGACAATCCAGACTGTTACCAGCATGTAGTTTAAATGTCAGGGTCTATTGTGGCCTGGTGGTGTAATAGTGCCCATGTCCTGGGTAACTTGCATCTCTATGAAAACATCATTAACACTGAAGGATATGTACATAGTTTGGAGCAATATATGCTGCCTTTTAGACATCGTCTTTTTCAGGGACGTCCAAGCTTATTTCAACCTGACAACACCAAACCACGTCTGCGTGTGCTACAACAGCATGGCTGCATAATCAGAGGCTGTGGGTGCTAGACTGGCCTGCCTGTCTCCAATTGAAAACATGGTGCTTTATGAATTACAAATTACATCAACAAAAGCCCCAAATGGTTGCACAGCTGAAGACTTTAATTACTGAAGATTGGCAAAAAATTCCGCCAAGTGCTGTTCTAAGGAAAGGTGAAGTAACACTGTGGTAAACATGCTACTTTTTAGTAGGCAGGCATTTTATTTGGAATGAACAGATATCTACAAAAAAATAAAACAATAAATTCATAAGGTAAAATGTCAAATGTCATGTTTTTGTGCCATTTTTAATTGAATATGAGTCAGAATTTACTAATCACTGCTTTCTGTTTTCATTGTATTGTTTATCATTTGTTTTTTTTATTCACTGAATTCTTAAAATACTGAATAAAACATCTAAACATACCCATAATAGTTTGTAATATTTAAATTCACAATGTATAAGCTATTATTGTTCATAAAATAACAAATGTTGTTAATATAGCAAGTGATTCCAAACTTTCAGATGGCAGTGTATGTGTTTTTAGTGTATGTTTTACTTTTTGTCTTAAGAAACCTAAGCAATGTCTTTGCTAACACAAATTAACAGTACGATAATGAATATTAGTCTAACTGAGGTCTGATTTCATGATTATAGAATCCTGATTGTATCAAAAGCCCCATATTTACGCCCACCACGGGGCGCCATGAGCACGGCCTGTTCAACCTGTATCACGCCATGGATGGAGCCTCCCACCTACACATCCTGGTCATCAAAGAATACGAGATGGCCGTATATAAGAAATACTGGCCCAATCACATCATGCTGGTCCTGCCCACCATCTTTAATGGAGCTGGAATAGGTAACTGCAGTTTGCATTCTTAAGCACATCATTTCCATATATTACATCAATACAGTTACTTCACAGAGTAAACAAACTGAAAGACCAAATTGTTTTGATCTGTAATATTTTATTCATGTGACATTGATGTACATCAGTGTATTACACTTCACTGGAGTGGGATTACGTCTCTCCGTCTGTTTTAAAATATTTTATTAAATTATTATCATTAAATAAATAAATAAATTATGAAATTATTTCTCTATGCAGAGCGATTCCTTCTCTAATGTTCAGGGTGTATTAAAAATTAAGGAACCACCCAAATATGTGTAAGACACTGAATTTTAGCTTGTTCTCCTCATTAGCATGATGTATTGGACCAGTGGGTCACATACAATTATTGTCTTATCTCCATTTTATTTCTTTACATTTTCTACATAATTTAAACACAGCAGCTGCATTTTTCACTATATGATCATTTTGTAAAGAATGGACCAATCAAAATCATTTGGAATATAATCTTATCACATTAATTTACATTAAAATTGCCAATGTTTTTGTCTTCTCCTGTAAAGGTACCATTTTGAATATTCAGTCATAGGCAAAAGTTTGGGCACCCCGGTCAAATGATGTGCTTTGTTGATTTTGTGTAAATATGTTCACACATCTTCTGCAGAGAACACTTCTGCACATATTAACGCACAATTCCTATTTATTTACTGTATTTGACATATTAATAAAAGGAACTTGAAATGTGGCCTATGCAAAAGTTTCTATACTACATATTCTATATTTTCTGCTTTATTTTTTCCAATATGTTAAACTCAGCAAATAAATATAAGCTGTGCATACAATTCGCTGAAAAAGTGTTTCCTGTAGAGGATGTGTTGACAGATTTTCACAATCAACAAAATGTAATTGAACCAGAGATGTTCAAACTTTTGCCTATGATGGTATATGGTTTAGTAAGGATAGTGACAGTATGTAATAGACATACTCAGTGGTGTAATAGTGTGCATCTTTGGGTGGTTCCTGACTTTTGACTCATTCTGTAGCTCTAAATTTGAACCCAAAACTTATTATCTTTCTCTCTCCCTCATAGGAGCAGCACATTTCCTAATTAAGGAGTTGTCCTATCACAATCTGGAGCTGGAGCGTAATCGGAGGGTGGAGCATGGCAGTCGGCCACAGGATGTCTGGCCCTTCATCATCCTGGCCGATGACTCCTGTGTCATGTGGAACAGTGTAGACGTCGACTCCAAGAGGTGCTTTTTAGTGTTACGCTTGTTATGCATGAAAACCTTTGCAAATTCGTCTGAACTTAAACTTCATTCACTGTTCTTTTCATCATTTTCATCATCAATTTTCTCCCAAAAATGCACTGAATAAAGGTAGTTGGTACATTTGCTAATTGACCCTTTTTGCATTCATTCACATAAAAAGGTGTGGTTTTCCCCAGACTGTCTGGTGTAAATGTATACATATAGATTGTGTGCGTTTGGATGTTTACACAGCGGCATTGCAGGAGCAGAGCGGAACGTATCACTGAAGCAGGTGCTGCAGCATATGGAGTCGTCTCCAGACATCACCGAGTACGGCCTTTGTGGCCTCAGAAAGTGGTCGAGCCGGGGGTCTGGGACCGGCCGACGCAGAGAGCCCTTCTCGCGAGGACACCTGCACGACTTCCTGCTCCTCAATGTGGACCTCACACATGACATACAGTACAACCAAAACCGGTGAGTTCTTCTTCCTGAGATTCATAAAGAAACTGAGCTACTTGCTTGTCAGCATCTAAACATGCTAACCCTAGAGTAAAAAGCACGTGAGGCCATGAGCTACAGTGGTTTTTCCACAAGGCAAAGCAGGGTAAGAACACTAGAACACATGGAGTGTGTGGTCTTTGGTCTGTATTGCGTTCATATATCAAGCAAACCACACCAGAGTTTTTTAAAAGCAGACTGAGACCCACCTCCTCAGAAAATAGCCAGTGTTGTACACTTAGATTGTGTGTGTAAATTAAGTGTGAACACACCCAAAAAGTAGAAGTCCTCTGTCAACACATACCACTGATGTAGTGTTTACAGTCGTCCCTCTATCTGTGCACACTAGATTTACGTGTGATGACGTGGACTTTAACCTCCGCATCCAGAGTGCAGGCCTTCTCATGTGCCGCTTCAACAACTTCAGTGTGATGAAGAAGCAGATAGCCATCGGGGGATACCGCACCTTCATCATCAAGACCAAGGTTGGTGCTCCCCTATACACTAAAACAGCTGCAGTTTCTCATTGGGCTCCTCCCATTTTTAGAATCTTGTGTAAATCTTGTGTAGCTAAGAATTAAAGTCTATGAAGAGACTCTTAGTGCGATTGTAAATGTGGTTATACTAACACTAAAGGAGCACCCAAACATGAGAGTACCAGTGATATTGAATGAAGTCTAATTAAAATTCCACAGGTTTTTTTAAATGTCTGATTGGTTTAATCAAGAAAGTCATTCAGAGTCCGCATTACAGTTATGTAGTCATTATATTTACTGTCAATAAATAAAGTCATAAATACAGTCAATAAATTTATATCTGCCTTCTGAGTTTTTCTGTGCAATGTTGATAATAAAATAGAGGTGAATCTGATAAGGTTTCTTTGGGGGCTTTTTGGGGTGCCTGCATGTTCCTCTTCACCACCAGTGTTTATTTTTAAATTACATTTCATGCTAAAACCTTCTCTTAAAGCTATCAGAAAACAATGTGTCAGGCATCAGGCAGTGTATTCGTAAAAAATTTCATGTAATAAAGTTCTGTAAGGGAGCTTTTAGAGGATGTCTGGTCCCTGTCAACACGACTGAACAATTCAGACTCGAAAAATTTCAAGAATTGAGCATTTCACGTCCAGCCACTCTGAATGACAATCTTCACATATTCAGTGACATAAATATGCAGGAAAATGGAAAAACTGGTGGAATTCCACTTTAACAGTATCCAGACTCAATCATGCTAATGTCTACTCCCTGTTAGATTTCACTCATTTTCAGCAGGTTTGGTTGATGTGGTCATTTTAGAAAGATTTGATGCATGTTGTGCAAGCTTTTCACATCAATAGCAGAGGACATTTGTGCCTTATTACATTATTATTATTACTCAAGCAGATGACGGATGTACCAACCACAGTGCAGCCGTCCCAGTATATTTGCGCCCCCGACAGTAAGCACCTGTTCCTGGCCACTCCGGCTCAGCTTCTGCTGGAGAAGTACCTCCAGCACACGAGCCAAAGGCTGTTCCCCCTCAGCGCCGGCAACTACAGCCACCCAGTGCTTTCTGTGGACTGCTACCTCAACCTGGGCCCAGAGGTACACCAAGATCCTAACTGAGCAGAAGCTGAAAGATTCCAGAGATCAGGAGATTTTAGTATAGAGCAAAAGACCAAAATGGGTTTAAGACATGTTTTGATTTTGAGTTTCTTCTTCAGCTTTATTAGTGATTTTGGCCTTTTTAATTGCCTGAAGGATGCCCACCGCAGCGCTGGGATGTAACAGAATAAAAGTATTCAGAATTATGTTCAGAAATTAAGTATCTGTTTTCAGTCCAAGTTACATTTTGAAAATGCAGTTTTCAGAAAAGTTACTTGTTCTTTTTTATTTTACAGTACTGGCTTACTACATAAAAAAACATCTTCCAAAGAAAAAACACCAATCCTTGTTTATCAGCTATTTTAAAATCAGCAAACGTTCTTGTTAGAAATGAACTGTAAAAAGAACCTCAATTAACAGCTTCTTCACAAAAACTGATAAATCAGTGGACTGATAAATCAGAGTGATGAGCTGGGCGTTAATCTCAGTGATACTGAGCTCTTTTGAGTGATGATCAAACTAATAACCTACTCGGTTGTGGACGTGTTTTCGAGTGATGAGATTAGCATCAGTGTTGAGCTGGACTCTCTGGGGATTTTGGGAGCAACAGCGGATTAAAGCAGGCGATGAAAAAGGAAAAGTTGAGAATTGCAGGATTCCGTTTAAATGATAAGCTCATTTTTTGTGAAACGTATTAACAGAAGAATTTCACGAAGAAAACTGATAACAGTGAGGAACAGTGTGATTTAAGTAAAAATAACAGAGGATGATGCTGCCTTTATTGTTGGATGCATTTTGATGTGTTCACACATTCAGAACAGAACTCTGATCACAGAATTATAGAAACATGTTTATCGTATAGCGTGTTTTGTTGATTTTCAGTGATACGCTGTGTTTAATCAAAGTAAAAATTAAAGGCGATGAAAATATGACAGATTCCTATTTGTGTGTTTGCTTGATCAAAATAGGTGTTAATGACACAAACAGAATAAAAATGTATACATTTTGGCTTTGTTAGATCAGGTTCCTCACATATTAACATAAAAGCAAGAACAGCATTGAGAAGCCACATCATTAAAGGAAAGGAAGAGATGAAATGCGGTTTAAAAGACTTTAATGCCTTTGCAAAGGGTTAAAAGCTCTAACTTTGGTCTAGTAGCTGCATCCTGTGCATGCTGGCTGAGATAGTTACTCCTATGTGATCCCAGTGATGCTGCTGGTTCTGAGTCCAGATCTTGACTCCTATTATATGGATGTCTGCTTCCTTCAGGTGACGGTGTGTTTTGTCAGCTCCAGACCGCACTCCATCAACATCAGCACTGCTGGCCTGCTCTTTGGAGGACTCCTGCTCTACTTTTGTGACTCTTTCGTCACACCTGGCTTCCTCAAGAAGTTCCGGTTTCTGAAAGGTGAGAGAAAAGCTCACTCCAGTAGCTCACAGTGGGTTTTTACAGTTCCAGGCTTTAGGAGCCTCAGAGTGAACTACACTGAAATCCTGAACAGGGTCTGACTATTAAGCTGAAAAAGGAAGGACATAATAAAATATCTGAAAACTGGGTTATTTGGAGTCACGGGATGGTTTGTGCAAACAAAACATAAATAATTAGTTTTAGTAAGAATCATTACTTTCTTTTACAGCAGTTTCAGTTTCGTTCCCAAATAATTACCCAAAAATGAGATATTTGCTGCGTCCTTTATCAGCTAAGATTTAGAACCTCTAGGGCACATAAGTGTAGTTTAGTACTGATTTGGTACATACTAATAATTTGTACCACACCTACGTGGCTAATACCTAGAACCTACCTGGCTAATTCCTAGAACTTACCTGGCTAATTCCTAGAACTTACCTGCCTAATTCCTAGAACTTACCAGCCTAATACCTAGAACTTAAGGGACTGTAAGAAGAAGCATTACGTGAAAACTGAAACAGTATCTGAATCTGTTTCTGCTGTTTCACATAATTTTATTGGGTTTATAAATTGTGTGCTCTGCAGATTAAATTGCTAGTTAGTATTCTGATTATAATATTATTTGGGAAATTTCAGAAAGACCTACCAAATAACATGTCCCTGCAGTTTAGTGATTGAGGCTAAAATGAACTCTTAAAAATGATAATTTCCTTCCCTGAATGTAAAAGTAAATAATAACTAGAAAGAGAAATTTCATAAATGAGCTTTAATTTGGCTTCACAAAGTCAGTAATAATGTTTCAAAAGTCAAAGCAGTTGTAGACAAATATTGATTATTTTTGATAACAAACTTAAATATATATAGTAATTGCAAGTAGTTGCTTATATCATAATTCCATGCTATGGCAATGGAACCCCAGGTTAATGTGTTGTTAGGCCATTATTTTGGTATCTCAGGTGGTTGCTAAAGTGTTGCTAGGCCATTGCTAGGGTAGCCAAGGTGGTTGCTAAGGCATTGCTAAGCCGTTGCTGTGGTATACCAGGTGGTGCCTGAAGTGTAGCTAAGCCGTTGCTATGGTAGCCAAAGTGGTTACCAAGGTGTTGCTCAGCAATTGCTTTGCTATCCTAGGCAGTCGCTAAGTAGTTGCTAGGCTGTTGCAATGGTATACCAGGTGGTGGCTAAGGTGTTGCTAAGACATTGCTATGGCATCTCAGGTTGTTGCTTAGGTCTTGTGAGAATGTGGCTGTGGCTTACTTGTATGTACAGAAACATTAGTCTACAGAGAATATACTGACTGTGGTGGAATAAGAGGCAGCGATATAAATGTAATATACTATATTAGAAGAATGACTCAGTTTCAGGATGTTGAGCTTTACCCACTTTATTCATATGGAAAAAAATAATGAACGCTGCACAAACACTTTAAGCCTAATCGGTTAAAAAGCACAAGCAACCTCTTTGAGTATGTTCCCTATAACATTAGCTCAGTGTAGTTTATAGTGTAGTGGTTCTTGGTGGTTCTTGCTTGAAAGCTGTTGAACAGTAAGTTGGCTTTTTTCCCTCCTCAAGTCTTGTTTGAGAATTCTAGTTTGTGAGAATAATGATAAAGACTCATCTGTACTCCTCTCTGCTTGCCCAGGGGCGACTCTGTGTGTGATCTGCCCCAACCGCAGCGCTCTCCGGCAGACCGTTGTCCGGCTGGAGCTGGAGGAAGAGTGGAGGTTCCGTCTGAGTGACGAGTTTCAGACGGCCAATGCTAAAGAGGACCAGCCGCTCTTCTTTCTGACGGGAAAACACATCTGACTTGACTCTGAAAGTCTACAGCAACAAACTGTACATAGCTGTCTATGTATATAATGAATGTGATGTACTGTATTGTCCTTTTGAATGCTTTTATTCTTTTTTCTGTTGTTTTTGTTCTCTGACCATATCAAATGTTCCCTTCACAGCCATAAAAAAATATATTTATTCCCACAACTGTATTTTATAACCACATCGTCTACATTTTAAAAATATTTTTCCATGTTCATTTATTGGACATTTTACAAACCAGCAAATATGAATTTTGCAGAGGACATTTTGTAGAGAAAGAATATTTTTCTAAATATTTGTTTTGCATATTCTGCGATGCTCGCTTTTTTAATTATAAATTTACTATGTAAAAGTACTTAAGGCATTGTTTTCTTTTTTAAGACATGGCTTGTGTTGTATAGTTTTAAGTAAGTCACTTTTTTATGCTTGACCTTAGTTTGTGGTATCTGTGCAGTTCTGCTGTGTCAACTCTAGAGGGCAATACAGGGATGTACAATATTTGTTGGGAAAGGTTCTATAATACAAAATGACAAATTAAACAATATTATCAATTCTTATATAAACATAAACAGAAACAGTGTATTGGTTTTTGTTTAATTATTGTTATGAGTCAATGACCGCATGCAAGCTGTCCTTATATGCAGAATTTAGGATGCATCGGCGCTCGTCTGCATGTAAACTTGTCTACTTGTCTACACTTGAGGGCTACATGTAAACCAGAATGTGACCCCACAGACTGCATTAAAAACCAACATGCTGTCTTTTTCAGGGACGTCTATACTTATTTCAACATGACATCACCAAGCCATATTCTACATTGCAACAGCATGGCTGCGTAATCAGAGTGCAGGTGTTAGACTGACCATCCTGCAGTCCAGAACTGTCCCCCACTGAAAACGTACAGCTGCTCAGCTGAAGACTAATATAACTGATGAATGGAAAAAAATTTTACAACCTATTTCTAATTTCGCTGCTATGCGTGATGTCAGCTGTTAGATGTTAGACTAATGGTTTGATGTGAAATAGTTTGTTGTAAACTTATTGACTCAGATTCCTTTCAGTGGAGTTGACAGGAACCAGGGTCTCCATGTCTACAATTCAAGTAGAGCCATTTTATTTACTATTTAAAACAACTAGTGAACCTACATGTCTTCTGGATTTTATATGTAATGTTTATGATATTAATTATTTTGCCTCACAGCATCTGCATGTACCTCTCAACCATGAATGGGTTAAAAAAAAACAGTTTTATGCCAAAATCTTATAACTATTGTTAAACAGTGTCTCAGGCAGTGCATTCATAACCATTTCACATGACTTTCTGTGAGTGATTTGAGGTAGATTTGATGAATGTAATTTTAAAGGGAAACATTTTCATTAATTCATTCTTACTAGTCTGTTACATATATTTTATTTTAGATATGAAATGCATGAAATACATTTAATATATATTTTTATTTTTATTTTATATATTATCTGTAACATATATTTTATATTCTACAATGCTCAAAAAGTGTTACATTATATACAGTTGTATGCACATGTTTATGTGTTCGGGTCAAGTGACATATTTTGACATATTTTGTTGATTTAAGTGAAAATAATTTAAAATAATTTATCCTCCACAGAGAACACACTTCTGCTCATTTTGAGACACAGTTACTGATTATTTGCTGATAAAAATAAAACATCAAATGTGGCATGTGCGAAAGTTGTGCCACAAAAGTTGGCCTTCATTCACACACACACACACACACACACACACACACACATTGTCTAAGCCGCTCATCCTTGTGGGTCACGGGGGGTGCTAGAGTGTATCTCAGCGGTCACTGGGCAGAATGCAGGAAACACTCTGGACAGGTCGCCAGTCCATCGCAGGTCAGACAGACAGACACATACATTCACACACACTCACACCTACATTCATACCAAGGGGCAATTAAATGTGTCCAGTTGGCTTGACAGCATGTCTTTGGACTGTGGGAGGAAACCCCCCCACGCAGACACAGGGAGAACATGCAAACTCCACACAGAGAGGACACTGGTCACCCGGCCGGGGAACCAAACCCAGGCCCTTCTTATTGTGAGGCAACAGCGCTGGGTTTGGGCACAAGTGATGAATCAGCTTCAGTGCATGAAATCAAGCACTGACCTTCCAGCACCTCATTTACATATCGTTTACATGAAGCACACCCTAATTCATGGTTTGCTCCACCTACTGCAATAAGGGTGTTCATTAGGGTCAGTTTTTCTTTAATACATTAAATTCAGCAACTAAATAGAAATTATAAAGTGAAGTTTACAAGAAAATTCCATATTTAAGCACTAAATGAGTCTCTGCATGAAATTCACTAATTCTTTAAACTAGTATGTAGTGATTCTATGAAAAACATCATTCAGATACAGTGAATAAGAATAAGAATGAATAAGAATAGTGAAATTACAAGTTATAATTGCAAATACTTTAAACATCCTTTACAGAGAGCAAACTTAAATAGAGAAATATGGTATTTTCCTCAAGTTTATTTGCTTAATTAAACATAGAAAAAAAATGAACAACTGTTAAATCCAGCGAGTAAACAATAATTTTGCTTTAACATGTGCAGAAGTGTCCCTGTAGAGGACATGTTCACTTATTGTCAAAAGAACATGTCTTTAGACCAGGGGTGTCCAAGCTTTTGCACAAGACAGTGTCTCCTTTCATTTTAGCAAGGACAAGTGGAAGCACAACAAGTTTGACCCAGTTGGTCAACCAGTTAACTCCCATGCAGTTGGCATAACAACTTTAGACCACATGAACAGCCCTGCGTCATTCTGGGGCAGCACAGAGTAACAGCCCAGTGCAATTACATAAATCAGAGACCTAACTGACCCAGTGAGTCTCTGCAGATATTGGATTACATGTGACGTGTGTATGAGACAAGTTAAATAATGCAATAATAAATAATGCAAACTATTAACTGCAATGATTACAAGAGTGTTTACATTTAAAGTCAATGTGAAATCAAAACTGACCTCTTTGTTAGTCTGTGTCCTTGGTCATATTAAAGAGTTCATGTTCTACTTTTTTCTTTTAAATATTTTTTCTCCTTGAGATTCACTTATAACTTTGATGTGGTTTTATGTACCTAAAATAGTCATAACTTACTGTACATGATTGTTATCCAGATTCTCTCTTTATCCCTTAAAATCAAACGATGTCTGTCAGGTCCATGTAATCAATGTACATACATTATTTACAAAGTCCTATATTTAAATAAATGTTTGTTGCCAAACCTTTAAGACAGATATATGTAAATGACTTCTGTACAGACTGTAGTCCATCTGTTTCTCTGCGTACTTTGTTAGTCCGCTTTTATCCTGTTCTTCAGTGGTCAGGACCCCCATGGACCCCCACAGACCCCCACAGAGCAGGTACTATTTGGGTGGTGGGTCATTCTCAGCACTGCAGTAACACTGACGTGGTGGTGGTGTGTTAGTGTGTGTTGCGCTGGTCTGAGTGGATCAGACACAGCAGTGCTGCTGGAGTTTTTAAACACTGTGTCCACTCACTGTCCACTCTATTAGACACTCCCACCTTGTCGGTCCACCTTGTAGATGTAAAGTCAGAGACGATAGCTCATCTGCTGCTGCACAGTTTGTGTTGGTCATCCTCTAGTCCTTCATCAGTGGTCACAGGACGCTGACCACAAGACGCTGTTGGCTGGATATTTTTGGTTGGTGGACTATTCTCAGTCCAGCAGCGACACTGAGGTGTTTAAAAACTCCAGCAGCACTGCTGTGTCTGATCCACTCAGACCAGCGCAACACACACTAACACACCACCACCACGTCAGTGTTACTGCAGTGCTCAGAATGATCCACCATCCAAATAGTACCTGCTCTGTGAGGGTCCATGGGGGTCCTGACCACTGAAGAACAGGGTAAAAGGGGGCTAACAAAGTATCAGAGAAACAGATGGACTACAGTCTGTAACTGTAGAACTACAAAGTGCACCTATATAGTAAGTGGAGTAATATGGTCCATATAATATTAACCAATAATATCATGCTACACCTCACACGCCCATCACCCCACCCACCATGGAGTGAAATGCTTAGCCTGTTCAGAGACCTTTTCTGATACCTGATATTTAGAAATACGTCGTGGTATGAAGGGAAAGTGCTTTATGATTTCCTGTTCACGTTGCCTTTAAATGCAAAACATCGTGGACAAAAACGTATCAAAACACGCAAAAAAGAGGTGAAAAAGACTATAACTGACAGGAGGTTCGTAGAAGGTTAGAAACATTACTGGAACTCTCTTCTTTACTTCTTGGCTGAACTGAGGGTCAGAGCGGAGTCAGGATACGTGATCAGCTGATCAGACTTACACACCTCAATATAACTTCATGCCAACATGATGATCTGGCACTGATTCTAAGAAAAGATCTTTAGCATTTTATATCGCAGATGTGCAAAAACAGCCCTTCATGTCAACAAATTGTTGATGTTGTTGTTTATTTAAATATATCAACATTTTGTAGACTTTTTTATATTTACAGATACAAAAATTAAATACATACTTTAGGATTCCTCTAAATAACTCAATCAATACTGCCTTCAGATAAAAATAATAGTGATCATCATCAATATTAAATTTTATTTACCAAGCACCTTTCAAAAGCTCAAAGTCATTAAGCTTCAGCAAAGAAACACTGGAATATCACAAGCACAACATACTCGAGGGTACAGTTATGGAGCCCCTCAGGTGATTATTTTTCAATAAGGCGTATATTGAGGCCATGAATGAATATACTGAGGTCACAAGTTAAGATTCTCACAGCCGTGAATTAAAATCAGTAGAGCTCAACACGACACAAACAAGTTCCTTCAGATCTCTCTAGATTTAACAGGTGTGGAAACAGGTAGATTCGTGGCTAATTGCAGAACCGGTGCCTAGAACCGCATACTGAACTACACACAGCCACAAAAAAGCTAACAATGTTTGTTTTAGTGCAAACACCCCCATAGTGAGTGGACTAGCTGGTGGTGACTCCAAAGATAGTGAACTAAAAAAACACCACTATTTTGTGTATTTTAAAAAAGTTTGCTCTTGTACTTCTTTTTCTTTTTGAGCTTCAGTTTGAGCTTCGCTCTCATATGTTTTACTATAAGTAACTGGTTGTAGCTTTCAACTCGAATGCATCCAAAACGGCTGTTCAACTGCGGCGAAGCCAGCGTTTTGATGGTGTGAATTAAAAAAAATATCAGAGGCCCTGAATTATTCAGGCCAATAGGTAAGTCAGTGCATTAAATCCTACTTTAATGTATGAAATACTTCTTATATTTTCATGACACACAATATGCATCACAATGTTTGATGTTAAATTGTAGTTTTCTGAGGTTTGACAAAACAAAAGAACCAGTAGTGCCACATTTAAAAACTATTATCAAAATAATGAATACAATCATTTGTTATTCAACATATATATTATCAAAAAAATTACACTGAACCCTCAACAAAATACATATATTTTTTCAGCGAGTCCAACTTCACCTTTAGTACAGCTTCTATTCTTCCCACAAGGCTCACTTTCAGTTTGTCACAGAAATCTGCAGGGATGTTTTTCCACATCTCCAAAGTTCAGACTGTATTTTCTCTTTCTCACAATCCAAATAATCCCAAACACATCATCGCATCATTGTGATGTTGAGGTCTGGACTCTGGGATGGTCAGTCCTTTGTTCTGAGGACATCAGCAGCTTCTTTGTGCAAATTTGTTTTGTTTTTTGTCTTTAACTCTTTCTTTGCTTCTTGACAGCTACACATCCTTTCAGACCCACAGCGCTGAGTTGTCTTCTCACAGTGGAAGGATGGACAGAAACAGCTGTGGATTTTCTCAGATCTGAGGTGAGAGTGGAGCTGGATTTTCTCTTCTCTCAAGGCTTTAAGTACTGTTTATCCAATGGTGACAGTTATGGCGTCTTCCAGGTCTTCCACGGTTGTTAGGAGCCACGTTTTCTCCGTATCTTCTAATTTCTAATTTTTCCCAGTCATTTACGCTATATGACCAAATGTATGTGAACCCAACT